CTTCGTGTCTCTTGTCCCTTTATAATCCCCACTCCCCCTCTAGGGTTCACGTTGACTGTACCTGCGGGTCGGGACAGGCAACAGTCTGTGGTGTAGGGCTGGATTTGCAGGTGCCCAGTAGATACCTAAAAGCAGGCCAAGGTCTGCATCACTGCCTTCATTTTGTGTCTCTTTTACTACTTTAAAACTTTGGGACAGATCCCTGTGCGCATCTCCACACAGGGGTGTCTGTGTTAACAGATTTCTTAGCCCAGTGTTTACCTAGTCATTCTCATCTTCCTGCAAGACTGAGGGCACCAAGATATGCACAGCTAAAGTAATTTTCAGGATTTGCATTGCTTCTGAACCTTTTGGCTAAAATCAAGTGTGGGATTTGCAGACTCCCAATTGCCAGGTTTTGCAATATCCAGTTCCAGATACTCCCAGAGCAATGCCTACGTCTCCAGCCAAGGTCATAAATCTGTAATCACTTTTTTTTTTTTTTTTTTTTTTGGTCTTTTTTGAGACAGGGTCTCAATATGCAGTTCAGGCTGGCCTTGAACTCACTTTGTAGCTCAGGCTGGTCTCGAACTTACAACAGTCACCCTGCCTCAGCCTCCCCAGTTCTGGGATTACAAGAGTGTGCCACCACGCCCGGCTCTGCTGCCATTTTCTCTGGCACCGAAATGGAACTTGAAAAGTTCGGTTTCTTTCCTTTAGAGATAAGCAACTTCTTCAGACTTCCTTCTGCTTAACATATAACCAACACCCCCCTCTTCTCCTCAGCCCAAAAGCCATGACAAAATATTCCCAGGAGGCAGGAGCCCAGTTCCCTTTCCACAGGAAAAGGGCCAATGAGCTGAAGATCACTGGAAGTGGTGAACCAAGTGTAAAGATCTGTACTGTCTCTGTGTCCTTTCCCCCTTCCTTACTATGAAAGACCCTTAGCCACCTGTGCACGGAGAGGTGGGGATCTGAGGGAAGTGGGCCCCTCCATCTCCTTGGAGCTAGCTTTGAACAAATCCTTTTTCCCTTTTTACCAAAATAAGCTGCCTCCTTCAGTCTGGTCAGTGATGAGCAAATGAACCTGAGCATTTGTACCTGAGTGGTTGGTACCGGTTTTGGCGTAGCCAGCTGGGAGGGAAATCCTGGCTTCTGAAAGGCCTGCAACTGAGGCGGCACTTGGGAAGAGAGACTGACGGTTCATGGCTCGCTGAACCCATGGTCATGTTACAGGCAGCTACCTTAGGTAAAAGTATTATAGGCAGTCAGACAGGGGTAGGCCCTTGACAGAGCCAGTGCAGAAGAGGATGGGATACCATGCAACATGGGGCAGACACAGACACAGCCTTTGGAAGCCAGACCTCAAGACAAAAGATGAAGCAAATGTACCCGCATACACCCACCCGCTAAGGGTAAACAACAGTGACCGATATTCTAAACAGGTATCGGTCATGTTGGGCAAGCTAGAGCAAGCCACCGACCCACCCCTCCAGGAAAAGCCCCTGTTCTGTTTCATGCCCTCTTGCTAAATAACTTCCCCACTTATTCAATATTAAATGAGCAATTATGCTCGTAATCTTATTGGTTGACCATAGTTTTGTCCCACCTCGTGCCCATCTTGTGGTTTCCCATTTTTCCCACCTTGGACCCACCTCACGACGTGGATTTGCTCTATAAAATTCCCTAGGAAAAGCAGGGTCTTCGGCAACCCACTAGGGACCCCTGTGTCTCACACAGAAGCTTTCTTTCCCCAATAAATATATTCTGCGCTTAACTTCCATCGTCCTAGAATTCATTTTTCAATTTTAGAGAACACAAACTCGTGGGCCAGGGATATAGCTCAGAGGCACAAGTGCCTGCCTGGCAGGCGCAAGGTCCTGAGTTCAATTCCTGGTACCAAAAAATAAAAAAAAAAAAAGAGAACACAGACTAGTATCTGATATGTAGCAGGTTGGATGTTTCTTTCCCCTGTATCAGTCAGAACTCCGGGGATGTTCTAGCAGCAGCCAGGCACATTTTTGTACCTGGTAATCTCTTTTCTTTCCTGTTCATGGCATCAGCAGCCCATAAGTTCTTTTGTTGGAAAAAGGTTATTTGGAGAT